TCTAGCGGGTCGAGGTGGTATCCGTGGGTAAGAAAGAAAGGGCTTATTCCTGTGGCGGTAGCTGTCCGATTGTTTAGTGCTATAGCTGCTGCTGGTAATAGTTCATCCCAGTTATCTTGGCTGTATGTTGTAAATATGCGTAGATATCGTTCTATTTCCTGATTCGCACGCTCTGTAGATCCGTCTGTCTCTGGGTGCCAGGCTGTAGAGAGCCGCTGCTGTATTCTGAGGATTCCACATAAACGGCGCCATAATTGTCCTGTAAACTGTGTTCCTCGGTCGGAGACGATAGCTTTTGGCAAACCGTGATGCCGTATGACGCTCTGCAGTAGCGCCTTTGAAACTGCCTCCGCGGTTGCTTCTTTTAATGGTTCTAATACAATACTCTTCGATAATCGATCCGTGACTACCATGAGCGTTGAGCTACCATTTGACTTTGTAGGCGGGAGCCCTGTGACGAAGTCGATCGATATCTCTGACCAGATCCGATTTGGTATTAGTAGCGGCTTCAGTAATCCACGCTTCTTCTCTCGCCAAACGTTTATCCTTCCGCAGATATTGCAGTTCCGCATGAATTGGCGTATGTCAGGGTCCATTCCAGGCCAATAGAACCGTCGACTAAGTAGTGACTTCAGCATATCGCGCCCTGGATGTCCGGAGAGAGTTGAATCGTGTGTATCTTGAATGATACGAGTGCGAAGAGGCTCATAATACGGTACCCAGATCCGGTCCCGCCAGCATAGCCTTCCGTCAGTGTCAATTGAACACTCGGATAGCATAATTGGTAGTCCCCACTGCTGAGGAAGTTTTCGTTCCCCGTTCTGTACTGCTCGGCGAATAAGCCAGTATCTATTATGGCTCTTCAAGCCTTCTTCCCACAACTTGGCTAGTTCCTGCTGTGTAAAGGGAGTCTTTACCATAGTATCCTGGTTTCCAACCTCATCGTTAGGCTGGTCGGCGTCTGCTTTCGTTACATAGCCAGTCTTAATCTTAACTAGCCTTATACGCTCTTCTTTAGGTAGCTGAAGTAGCTGGAAGCGCCTTCCTTCAATGCGGTCGTCTTCCGAGCTATTTGGTATATCTTGCTCGTGCCGAGATAACGCATCTAGCACTATAGCTTCTTTGCCAGGTCGGAACTATATAGTAAAGTTGTATCGTGATAGGATTTCGGCCCATCGAGCTTGTCTCTCGCTAAGGAGTTGTTTCTTCATAAAGTAACGTAGATTCAAATGGTCTGTTTGAATCGTGAATGAGGCAACACTTCGTAATTCGGCATCCCAATGTTGTACGCAACGGATAATTGCCAGTAGTTCCTTGTCGTGTATTGGATAGTTGCATTCTGCCGGTATGTTCTTCTTCGAGAAGAATGCTACTGGTCTCCATAGACCATCATCTCCCTTCTGCGAGAGAGCGCCGCCCGTCACATATCCAGACGAGTCGGTTTCCAGTATAGTTTCTCTATCAGCGTCCCAGTGCGCAAGGATAGGCGCTCCAATAAGCCGTTCTTTGAGCTTCTCGAACGCACTCTGACATTCGCCCGACCATATAAATGTCATATCCTTCTTAGTTAACCTAATAAGCGGTAGTGCTAAGAGTGAGAATTCTGGTATAAACTGGCGATAGTAGTTCGCGAACCCAATAAATCGCCGGACTTCTGTAACTGTTCGCGGCGATTCCCACTGTTGAATAGCTCGAACCTTATCGGGATCTACACGGATGCCTTTCCCTGCGTCAATAATAAACCTAAGATATTTCACGCTTATCGCTTCGAATTTGCATTTGTCGATATCGACTTGTAGGCCAGCTTCCTGCAGGCGCTTCAACACCTTCTTAACCTTCTCGCGGTGATCGTCTAGTGTTCCGTCAGAATAGATGAGGATATCATCGATGTAGGCCGAGCAAAACTCGTCTAGGAAGTCTTGTAATATATCGTTTATAAACCGTTGAAAGGTTGCTGGTGCACCTGTGAGTCCAAATAGTGTCACGAGCCATTCGTATAAGCCGTACCGAGTACGGAAGCCTGTCTTCCATTCTTCGCCTTCTTTTATTCGGATTTTATGGAATGCAGCGATAATATCGAGTTTTGTGAGCCACTTTGCTTTCGATAGTAATCGTAGGGTTTCGTTAATCAGAGGTAGCGGGTATCGATCCTTTCTCGTAATTTGATTGATACCTCTATAGTCTACACAGAAGCGTAGACCACCACCGGGCTTCTTAACAAATAGGACAGGTGCAGATGCCGGCGAACTACTGGCTCGAATAAAGCCTTTATCTAGTAGTTCTGTTAATATCTTTCTTAGGACAATCAATTCTTCACGGGACATCCCGTATAATGGTCCCCATAGGGGCGACTTTTCTTTTCCATTGGCATCTGTTTCCAGTGGTATACTATGGTCGATTCTAGGCCGATGATTCGGGAGTATATCAGCCTTCTCTTTGCTGAATACGGATAGATACTGGTGATAGGGGCTTGATAGTTTCTGTTTCGGGTCTGTTAGAGCTTTTGGTACTAGCGCTTTGTTAATATCAGCGATACTGATAGCAAAGATACGCGATTGAACCGGGTTGTTCGAGTTCTCTTGCCATAGCTCTTGGTTAATGGTTTTCTTCTGTATTCGTCTCACTAAGCCTATGAATACTGCAGCACTCTGCCCTATGATATCATACTCTTGTTTTTCTTTGTACTTTCGCTCTTTAACCCAGTGATTGGATAAACTAATGTGTAGCAAGCCTCTAGCAGGCTGTATTGTGACGTGCTCTAGATCCATCCAGGTTTTCCCTAGTATAACATCATCCTGCTGATTTGGGATGATATAAAAGAAAGACCGTTTCTTCGTGTACCCGTCGATATCTAGATCGACGTACGTCACGGTTTGTATAGCCCCATGTACCGTAGTGCTGATCTGTTCGAGCGATCTGGGGGTGATAGGGATACGCGGCAAGCAAAGCTTCTGGGCTAATCGGGAACTGATAGTTCCATAGCAAAGGCATCCGGAGTCAATAAAGGCTCTTGAGTAATACTCTTGATTGATTCCTATGTTGATATAGATACCTCGACTATCCATTCTCTTCTTTAGCTTGTTCCAGTCCTTCTGAGCTTGGTTGTGCTCCTGACGGCGCTTTTGGCCAGGAGCTACTCGTTTCCCGACTCATACTCGCCATTTGAGTCGTCTGAACCGCCTAGATCGTCGTCCTCTTCTCGAGAGAGTGTCTTCTTCGACTTGCCTTTTGCAATTCGTGTTTTAGGCTGTGATTCCTGTTTGCCCTTTCTATTGGTCTTGCAATATCGAGCGATATGGCCAAGTTTTCCGCAATTGTAACACTCTAGGGCGTACTTAGGTTGCTTTCTTTGTTTGTTGCCTTTTAACTTTCCAGCCTTTGTAGGCTCCTAATCCATCTGGTAGCTACCCGTAGCCCCCTGGTTGTTCTGTTGGGGCTGTTCTCTTCTGGGTTGGTTTGGGTAGTAGTGGTATTGTTGTCTTTGGCTATCCATACGAGAGCTAATAGTAAGAAGCAGTTCGGTGTAGCTGTTAAAGTCTGTCGGGATTCCAATCACACTAATAAGCTTGTCCCGGAGTCGATTATTCAGCGCTCCCTCTAGATAGTTGATCTGTACCTCGTTATTCCAAGATCCTCCGCCACTATCAGCTAGTTCTTTTTCGAATTTTGGTAAGAACGTCGCGAAACTTTCGTCTGGTTTTTGTCGGAGGGATCGAAGGCGGTCTTGAGCTCGAGCCTTGGCGTTGGGGTCTCCGTACCTGCGATTCAGGTAGTCTAAGAACTGGTCTGCTGTTTGTGTCTGGCTTATAACGCCTTGTTCGAAGTAGGCTGCTGCCATATTCTGCGCAGTTCCTTCTAGACGGGCGTATACGTACACGAATCGTTCTTGATCATTTATAAAAACCGCGTAGTCTAGCGTCAGCTTCGCTCGCATCTCCAAGTGCCAAGATCGGAATTTCCAGCGTGTTCCGTCGTACTTTGGTGGATCTGGTAGTGTTGCTTTCTTCTTTGTAGGACTATACTCTGGAGATTGGCTTCGTCTCGGTTCAGGTCGAATAATGTTGGGCTGCTGTACAGGTTGTGGTGTTTATGTTGGAGTCGCGATAGCGGACTGTAGAGCCTGGATATGAACTCTGGTTTGCTCTTGGTGGGTTCGAATCTCTTCTCGATCAGCCTCTCTTTCCGCTCTCAATGCTTGTATTTGCTCTGTTATCTGGCCCATCATCTGTAGGAGCACCTGGGAGGTTCGTCCTGGGGACCCCCCTTCTTGACTGTTAGTCTCCATCATAGAGACTTGTCTTTATTCTTCTACAAGCCGATTTCTTACGGGATCTTGTAGGTATCCTCCTCTAGATTAATCACTAGAGGCCCTCCGCTATCCGTATCTAGTACGGAGTCGTTGCAGGCACTTGTAATTCGCACCTAGGCGAAAGCCTTCTACTCTGTCGGTCGCGCTCGAGGCCGAAGTAGGTATCCTCTCCTGAACCAGTTATCAGGAGCCCTCTGCTATTCGTATCTTGTACGAAGTCGTTGCAGGCACTTGCAATTCGCACCTGGGCGAAAGCCTTCTACTCTGTCGGTCGCGCTTGGGACCAAGGTAGGGATCGAGCCAAATAAACTGAATGGCTCGCTTCTTTTTGATCTTCGGATAATGTAACGGTCTCAACTGAGTATATTGACAACTAGCTGAGCGACTACTACGAGTATCCGAAGATGAAGAAGAAGGGATCGAAAAGGGGCTATTCCAGCTAGCTGGAATAGCCTTTTATATGACTTACATGGGTCCCTTGCCTAGATGGTCGAGGGCTACCCGAGACCTCCACGGGCCTAGCCCGTTACATAGCGACCAAGTACAATGTGCGACCGGATCAGCTCGAGAAGAAACAGCCCCATGTAGTGCCTCCATGGTAGACGCCGCCATCAGTCAGCATAGCCAAGTCGGCGGAAGAAGCAATAAAACAACATGAAATGGTGGCTACTGGAACAATCCGGCTCTACACTGATGGAAGCGGCATCAACGGCCATGTAGGGGCGGCTACCATTGCTCTTGAGCTACCAACAGCAAACGTCAATAAAGAGAGCTCTGAATACATGCGGACAGCAAGTGCTTCAACAGTATACGCTGCTGAACTTAAGGGCCTGGTGTTGGCACTGCAGGTAATCCGAGGCCTACAAGGTGCAGGAGTTACAGCTAGTGATTGCACTATATTCACAGACAACCAAGCTGCCTTACAGGCAATGCAGAACCCAAAATGCCCCTCTGGACAGCACATCCTGATAGAGGTGATTAGACAATTAGATTGTCTCCGACGGCTAGGATGGCGAATCAAATATTCGTGGATTCCAGCCGACGCCGGAGTGCCAGGAAATGAGGTGGCGGACGAAGCTGCCAAAGCGTCGGCCGGTTTCAATCCACCTACACGCAGACACGAGGCACCGCCAGAACCGGAGAGGCTGAGCATCCTAATAGCGACCACGAAGGCGACCATTCGCAAGACAATGAAAACTGAGTGGGAGTCAGAATAGGCTGCAGACAAGCATGGCAGAGCGCTATTCAGCCTAGGAGTCAGGCCTAACAAGGACATCCTTAGCATGCACGGCGGGATCCACAGGGCAGTGAGCTCCGTGATCACCCAAATGCGGACAGCCAAAATTGTACTTCGAGACTATCTGCACTCCATCAACAGAGCGGAAACCGACAAGTGCGAATGTGGCCTCAGTCGCCAGACTGTGCGCCATATTTTGCTTGAATGTAGAAACTGGATAGAAGAACGAGAAGAAATGTGGGCAGGCAAACCTCCATGCGCTGACATCAAGCGCATCCTCAGCAACTCGACAATGGCAATCAAAGCAGCCAAGATGATCATCAGGACGGGACTGCTAAGTCAATTCAAAACGGTCCTGTCCACGGTACTTCAATAGCGCAACCAGCGCAAGGTAGACGAGTGTATACCTCATCTTACAGAAGGCGAGGAGGGCCGGGAAGGGCCTGACAAGTTCATAGACACAGAACCATCATCAGAGCTTGATACATAGACGCATCGTCTAAGCTGCGAGGAGAAAGTAGAATTCTGACCAGGAACGACGCTTCTCTCTTCGTAGCGAATGATGATGAAGGGTAGATAGTTGTACGCTGCATAGCTGCTCGAATAATGGCGCCTGGGACAGACTATGAAATCCAAATCCAAATCCAAATCCAGCTGCACTGGTATGTTCCTCAAATTATAAAGATGGTCTGGAATTTCTAATTTATTCTTCGGTGACTACGTATGTAAATAAGGGTAACCTTGATTTGATTCAATTTAATGTCTTTTCCGTCGAAACCAGTCTGAACACCTGCTGATCAACGGAACTTTTAGGCTACATACCGTAAGGGGTCAACACTGCGATTGGTCAATCATTTGAGTTAGTGAATATCTGGCCACCAGTCGCAATTAGTAGTGGCGCTAGCCAGCGATAGACTGGGTCACAAACTGGGTCTTACAAGGCCATTCAGCACTGCTTTCTAATCCAGACGCCGCAGATAAATTTGCCACTACCGATCGCCTTTTCCCGCATCTACCATCGTCGTGACGACAATTCTCAGCAACATATCTCCAGCAACGGCTTGTTAGAAATGCCAGGTGTGCCTTCTAATCGTGGTTGCGATGCGTGTAAGAACGATCGCAAAAGAGTTAATACGCCATCTTCTCTAGAACCAGCGCCTAAGCTAACCACGCGTCAATAGTGTGATAAACAATTGCCCGCATGCAGCAGATGCGCACGCCGGGGTATTCCATGTATCGGCAATGGCAAACTGCGGTATAAGTTCAAAATAGAGAGACAATTCCCACAAAATAATGCAACCGTCTCGCAGCTCCAAGGATTCTCCGAGACGCAGGGCCTTTGTTGGATGCCAGTTCGAACACTTGACAGTAATGTTGACCGGCTAGTTGCTGCATATTCGTCACTATTGATGACGAAGAATGCCAAGTACAGTCTCAACTGCTTCGGCCAGTTGTTCGCTTGCATTCCGTCACGGTTGGGTGCTGACGATGTGCTCGACCTTTCTGCGGATGCATTCTTGGAGGGCTTGGTTGGCATTTGGGCGCCTAGTCCAAAGCAGAGAGTGAAAGCCATGACTAAGCATGGAGTGGCGTTGAGATGTTTGCGTAATGCTCTATACAATCCTGCACTCGCTAAGTCTCCTTACACACTCTACGCAACTATTTTATTTATGATATCACGGGTATGTGATAATTTCAGCAGTGTGGCCTATTTTATAATGCAACAACTGTTACTAATATTTCAAGAATTGGTTCTCGAAAGACTGTGCGGCTCACGTTAGCCACATGGAGGGCATTGCATACTTGTTAAACACAAGCGCTCGTGATGAGTGGACTTGTCAAGACGACAATTTGCGCGTTTGCATAATCTATCCTGCTGTAGGGCATATAAACTACCTGTTGCCTCGCATTTGCTAAAATGTACATTTCTGCTAGGCCATAGAAGCAATTGTCAACCCCAAGATTAAGGTTAGCCAATGGTATAAATTCCGCGACACACCTGCCTTTGGCCCGCACCAACCTCTTCATGAGCACCATGGCCAGCCTGTTCAATCGCTCACTCTATCCGCCATTCTCGATTTCCCGAGGCTTTTAGATGAGCCAGAGCGCAACCAGGGTACAATTTTGGCAGAATATATGCGCTTACGGTACGAATACCCCGTTATTTTGAAAAGATTGAATGCCTTACGTAACGCTATGGATTCAATGGGCCCACGACGTAACCTGGTTGCAGCACAAGTTCAACTGGAGACAGCTTGCATATACATGCTCTCTTACACGCTTATTCTCAATGCCTTTCTCGCGGCTCTCGATCCGCTGAATACTACATTGCATCATGAATCTATAGAGCTTGCGAGCGAAGCTATTCGATTATCAAAGGAGAGTGGGTCACACTTGCCTGCTAGGATGGGATTTGTCCCGTGGGCTCTCCTGGCAGCATGGGCTACTGCCAGCGACGAGAATGTTACTCGAACAGTCGTGCGTATGATCCAACAGCGCGACGTATATGATGTATACTATGCGGATCTAGCGTACATTCGCATGTTTCGTTCATTGCAACAACGGATTTTAATGCTGAGGTTGAGTACAATCAAGAGTCTCTGTTGTGCGGAAGAATCATCCACTACTAGGAAAGAGAAGATCAGTCTTAATTGGGGGCGCAACGGTCCTAGCTGACAGCTACAGTAGCTAGTGTTACAGACAGACATCACACAGCCAACCTGTCTAGGCCGCCACCGGCGATGGATAACGTAATTTACCAGTAAGTGGACCACTTCAGTAAGCGGCCCACCCATAGCAGTTAGTATCGCGAGTTTCAAGTAGTATTAGAGCAAATAAATATAAATAAAAGTTCAATTAATTTAAAGCTAAACTATATTAATCTTTGGGCATTTGTTTCTCTTGTGACCTAATTCTTTACAAAAAGAACAGCGCGCTGGTGCTCTTTTTCTAGTTTGTAAACCTTGAGCCTCCATATTGGTTTGCTGTAGTTGAGCAGTAATTGCTGCTTCATCATTCGCAAAATTACCTTCAATTAGCTGTAAACCTTCGTGAATTGATAGACCATGTTCAATATTCCATCTCTTAGTTTTTCGTGATTTCTTTTGTTGTTTTTGATTAAGTAAAGCCTTTAGTTCCTGGTTCTCTTTTGCTAAAAGAAGTCCGTTGTGGAGAGCCATCTCACAACCTTTAACAAGCTGCGCAATTGCACGCTTTGATGGAGTTGGCGGGCTTCTAGATCCGTTCTTTAGGAGTTTCTTAATCGCTGAGGTCTTTTTTTTCAGCGATCGAGCATTGTGTGGCGTTTGAATAGTTGAAGAACGAGTCGAATTAGTCTCTTGGCTCGATTGGGGGGATGGCGTACGTATTTGAATAAAGAGTGTTGAATATACTGTATTTGNGCAAAGGCTTTCTACTATACTGTAACAAGACAATAAAATCTTGGTTAGTAAGAGCAAACAAGGCAAAGTACTATATCGTATTGATAAGCATCAACTTATTAATACCTACTTTTGCTGAGTTAGCACCGTGACTTTACATTAGTGAATTGAATAGTTCCCACACTAAGCCAAGCTATTGTACGCTGCACCTGTCGTTTGCAGGTTATAGTGTAACGAAGTGGCTTGCACTACGTAGGGGTCTGTCCTATGTAGCAGAATAGTTGCGGTGTAAGTGGACTAAGTCCAAGAGCAGTAGTAACAAAGAGTTGGTTAAGCGGTCGTTAAGAAGTTATCCTCAATTAATAAGTAATTGCTTAGATTGATTACTGAAGATCTGAACTACTCCAGAGCTATCTAACTATCTACTTATATACTAATCTATCTCTTCCGTGCTCAGTCGTGCTCAGTAGTTCCCCACTGAGCATCAGCGCTCTTAATAGTGTAACCGGTTCGAAAATCCGCCTCGAACCGCCTTAACGGTCCGACACACATGCTCAAACCGAACCGCCAGTTTAAAACATTCTGACAAACCGAACCGCCGGTTTATTTGCTTTCTACGGACCGCACTATTAGTCCATCCTCAATGTTCGAACCGAACCGAACCGCAAACCGCGGTTTACACTAATAGTCCCACCAAGTAAATATCTTGCAGAAATTCTAACACATGCCTACCCCATTATAGCTTTGCTCGTTGCCAACACCGTACTGCTATGCTCCCATAAACAGAAACCCTATATCTCAACGTTACTTCTTCGGCTAGCTTGCTCATGGGCTCCGTCACTCGCTAACGGCAGGCCAGCGTAACAGCACTAAAACTTTTGTCAGACGATTGAGCTACCGCTGGTAGAGCAACTCTTACCTCAGACGGGACTATGAGCGTGCTTTTGTCCCAGGAACGTAAGCATTCCAAGAGATTTACAGTTTTAATGTTGAGAGAGCCTCTTTGGTCTGTAATTGTGGCTTTAGACTTTGAAAATAGCCGTTCAGTCTCAGCAGACATGGGCGGAATCGACAAAATGTCAATAGCCATCAAAGAAAGATTAGGAAATCTGCGTCGTTGAGCGGATTCCAGCCACCAACGCAAAGGATCTGACGTCATCAGGACTGGCTCTCGGCAGTAAACTTCATACTCGTCGTCATCTATGTTGAAAATGGTTGCCTTCTGCTCCTTCATCCACATCTTGTATCTGTTTAGTCGCGTGGATATTGGCTCTTGAGCGTGACCTTGTTACAGCGCAGGACACGACGTCGTCGACTTGTATGTCTCCTTCCAAAGCTGCGTCACCCGAGTTTTCGCCCTCTCAATCCAATCTTCCTTTTCCTTCCATGTCCTTTCCATATATGCCCACTTGAGAGAAGGATTCAACACTGTTGCGGCCGAGTACACAGGCGAGTCTTCCGTGAGCTCGTAATAGTCGGCTAGTTTAGCCCAAGCAGTTTCCATCATCGTCGCTAAGTGAGGAATAGTAGTTGCTGCTCTAGCGGCTTCAATATAGTGGAGTAAATAATCCATTGTAGGCAGGACATTAGTGATAGACGACGCCGTTGTTCCTTCGTTAGCAACTGTAGCATCATAAAACGGCTCGAGAAACTCGTACATCTCTGCTAAGACTGCCCAATCAGAGGCACTAAGGGCGTCCTCTTACAGAGCTAGCTCTTGCGCATAGAATATAGTTATAGCTTGACGAACTTTGGGCCGCAGAGCCGTCTCAACCATTTTATACCAGGAATTCCAGCGAGTGTCATTATCTCGGCGCGGTCTGAGTCCGTCAGTCAGATTAGTGAACGCGCGAAGCCGCTGCGATGTCCATACGACGTACGTCATAATATTATGCAGTTTGCCTATCGCTCCACGCTTTCGCCACTCCTCAATTTGCTCGATGGACAGTCCAAGATATACACCAGTTGTTGATAGTCTCTTGCCTATAAGGAACTCCATAACGGCCAAGTTCATAATATGACCCAAGCAACGAAGCCTGTGGGGAAGCGGGTCGTAGTATACTTTGAACTCTCGTTCCAGGTCGTCAGAAACCTGGTCGATCATGGCAGACATGCGTATTTGGATACGATATATCGATATCAACCTGGCTATATGGCTATATCGATATTGATATATATCGATATCGATACAAATCTCCGACCCTTAAATGGATATCCATGTTGATATCCATTTAATATACTATCCCTGATTGGTCAAAAAATCTTATCAGTGAAACACATCGTGGCGGTGCTCAGTTC